TGACGTTGTTTAGGAATAATGGTAACTGCGGTTTTATGCATGCACTAATTTATTAATAATGCGTGAAACGATGCAATAGCACAAACACCATTGAACCATGGTCCGCTTAACTGAGTTTTTATTAATATATGAGCATGGGTATAGCGCAGAATGCGATGAAATGTAGGAGGATGCAATGAATTTGATTTTGGAAGAGTTAAACGCTCAAGTCGTTTATGCAGAATAGTAATCTAGGGAATGTCTTCCGCGGAAGATCAGTTGAGCAGTCACCATTTCCTTGAGGTAGTAAAATTTTCAGAATGTATTTGCGGAATTTCGCCTTTTAGTCAGAAACATGCTATTGTTTAATATTTCAGGTATGAAACTGGTATTGGAAGTGAGCACATCGAAAAGGAAGTTTTGCTTGATGAAAACGACGATTTGTGGACCGAACTTAGACATATGCACATCGCGGTTGTGTCCCAGTGAGTGAAAAAGTTTCGATTAATGTATTCGCCTGTTTTTTTGCGCTGAAATGTTAAAGCCACGATCTTTAATACTGCAGTTTGTAAAATTGTCTACGAGATGCCATAGAGATAATGATTGGAACTATGCCGTTTTCTTTCCGGTGCCGAATTAAGCAAGATTTTCACTGTTTCAGTTGAAGAAAGATTTCCCTGAACTTCAACATTGCAAGCATTATCTGTCAAAGGATTTTGTACCGAAAACGCAGAACGCAGGTGAAAACAGGCGTAACCGACCTGTTGCGTATCAGATTTCCAGCAGGTTTATGACAACAGACTGACTGTAGAAAAGCTGGAAGATTTGCCTATCAGTAAACCTTTTTCATAGATTTTATCGACGCATTGAGTTCTCTCGATTTAGAGAAGATGCGATTCACGAGCAGAAGCATTAAAGTACGGTTTATTTCAAGTTTTTTCGAGCCTCCTCATATGGCAGTCCTTCGAAGGATCTTCATTTCTAGCTCTTGGTTTGGCGATAGTCAGCTTTCGAGCAGGAAACTGCACTACGGACCATCAAAGAAGTTAGACGCCTCCACTTCTAGGTCGATGGCTGCACAGTACTGTTCAGTTCTTTTTCATCGCTTTAATCCGCAATACCACGCTCGTTTTATGTCATTTGATCATTAGCTGTGTGATTAAGCAACGTCAGTTCCTTACAGCACCATTAGAACTGAGCTGTCATGCCGTGTGTTGTACGGTTGCCTCTGTTTGTGCCAGCATGATATAGTAGCTGTTAAACAGTCAGTCTCATGACTACGCCGTGTCTATTCATAACTGTTGCGGCCACCGGGGAACTGTTTCGGAAATCCGCATTTCATTGAATTTCGATGGGACTGGTGCGCAATGGGAACCAGATCTTTTTATTGTTAAAAGCATCCTATGATCCATAATCTGCTGCACTAAATGAAAATCCAGTAATTATTAAAATTGTGTGGATTATCAGACCGAAACATTAATAACCATTCGACTTAGGCAATTTTAATATAGCTTTGCTTGACTGATATTTTAAAATTTTTCGCTTCATGATACATGTGGTTAATTCAGTAAATTTGATTTGCAGGTTGGTTTCTTGAGTAAAATATGGCGACTGTAATGAAACACGCCTCGTAAATTTTTTTTTGCGCAAGACCAATGTTTCAGCTGATGTTATCGGCTTCTGTCAGGTGTATGCAGTATAACGTATTACGGTCATTCAAGATTGTCAAGATGTACTCGAAGTAGATTTTTCTCTTTGTCGGAACTTGTTTCTCCGTGACGGAGAAATGTAAACTCCCTCATTTCTGTTCATTAAGTTTGGAGTTAGATGGATCACGGGCACTTTGGCAACTAAACGTCCCTTCTAGTTGTCGGTGTTACTGTGGTTGGGTCGGTAAAATTGACGCTGTCTTAAATCGGAATGTCAGAAGTCCTACGTTGGTCAGACCGACAAACCGTTACGAAATAGGATAGCAGAGCACAAAAGAGCGGCTGCCATCACCAGTCCAACAAACAAAGAAAACCAACGCTCACGAACAAAGATCACAACATCTGTTACGCTGACCTGACAAACGGTTGGCGAGTACAGAGAGTGCGTAACTGCCGATACGCTCTTATTCCACGCACTATCAGACGTTATGGATAGAGATGGTGATGTTTTTATCTGTTTGTATCGGCGAAACGTATATAAATCTTTGGAAAAGGGAAAAACCAACTTTAATTGCGTCTTGACCTTCTTGTATGACCGTAATGCTGTATATTGCTTGCAGTTGATAACGCTTGTAATATTAGCTAAAACAAGTCTTCTGGCAGAAAGTTTAATGCCATGTGTCGTTAATACCGTTTTAATACTTCGCTCATAACTCAATCCAAGGTGTCAAGTACCTATATGCATATCCCCAGGTTGGTTTTTAGTCTGCTATATTGCATTTTTGTATTTGAGAGAAGTTACGAAAGGGCTAAAGAAATTCATGGAAGGAAAACGAGGCATGGCCACCGATACGAAGAGCATTAAAGACCTTTCAAATTTAATTAAAAAAATGCCCCAGTATCAGAAGGAGCTTAACAAATATAGTACCCATCTTCATTTGGCCGAAAAATGCATGCAGAAATATCAGTCTGGAATCGATAAGCTGTGTAAAGTGGAACAGGTAATATAATGATATTGAAAGAGGTGTTGGGTATTTTTGCGATCGTTCAGGATCTGGCAATGGGCACCGACGCCGAGGGTGAACGGATTAAAGATCCTGTAAAGTTACTTACTCCTCTTTTGATCGAACCAGCCGTTGATCAGCAAGACAAGATCAGACTGGTGCTCCTACACATTTTGACTCGAAACGGTACAACCTGTTTTGTTGTCCTTTTTTGCTTACTTTACTACCTTTATGTAGGTATTCCCGATGAAAATTTAAATCGTCTTCTGCAACATGCGAATATACCTCCAACTGAAAAGTCGACCATCGTCAATATGAGCTTTTTGGGCTTAAACATCACGTCAGATGTATGCTTTTTTTCATCAGGATGCGATTTTCTTGACTGCCGCAGTAGTATGATATTATTTCGTATATAGATTTATCGACATACACTTCTTGCTAAGCAGATTTTGGCTTCGAAAAAATTCGATCATTGCCTTGCTACCTAGTCTTGCAAATTTTGGAAAGGTACTACATCGTTATTGGAGAAGAAAGTTAATTTTTACACTCCCTTCTTATGTACCACTTATGCATATCCATTACAATAGGATCCACTAAATAATTCGGGTGACATAATAACCTTTATATTATAAGAAGTTTAAAGTGCTTTAAAATTTAAAGTACTTCACCAGGAGCTGCTCGCTGCTTCTGAGATGGGTCATATTTACTGATTCAGCAAGGCTGGAAATATGAGACCTTTAGTTGACCTGTGTTGTATTGAGCTACGCAAGTCTTCAATGTCGATCCATAGCTGGTGTTATCATCTCATCGTCGTGCCACTCCATGCTTTGTTCAATTTTCATCGTTTTTTGGAGATCTGTCCATGTCAAAAATTGATAAATAGCATACGTGGTCTTCATTGTAGTTTATTTTAGGCCGGCAGACGAAAAGTTTGGACTCCAAACCGGAAGGAACGAGTCGGTGAGCAGACATATCAGACTTCGCGATGGACCCCAGTTCTTAAGGATATCATAGAGGTATGTTAATGCATAACCGGTTTTTCCTGAGTTTTTTCCTCAGGATGCAATCGACGACAAGCTTGATCAAAAATCAGTTCCATTTTTGGCGGGCCGGCAGACAGTGCCAACTTATCGCACGCCAACAAGGTAGCAAATATTCACATTTTAAGTATGTATATTTCTAATTTCAGCGCGCGTTATGGTCAGTGGCATAAGGAACGCGGCCAACAGATTCAGTATCGTTCCGGTCCAAGACTGATTGTGTTCATCGTTGGTGGAGTGACTTACTCTGAAATTCGATGCGCTTACGAAGTGACTAGAGAGAGAAAGTCGTGGGAAGTGATAATAGGTGATTGACACATTCTATACTTATTAACATTCAAGTCGTGATAGCCTAGTCGGTACGGCGCTGAGCTGGTATTTGAATGATTCGTATTCTGCTCTGGCCACTGGCCTTTCATTCATATAATGTATATGAAAGAATGCCAGTGTAGTGAGGAAGTAATTTTACAAAACCAACTAGTCATAATTTGGTTCTAGTTAGTCTCGACATGTTTCGTGACCTTCAAAAAATAGGGTACCCCTGAATGATGATATGGTAATGGAGAGCAGGGTCATCCATTAATCTGGATGAAAGATGCTGCAAACACGGTTTTGTGCATGTAAGGGAGACCAACATCCCAACACTGGCGATCTTTGCTGTCGTTTCAGGCACTTAGATTTAAGATGAAAAATTACTGCATTAATAACATACGATCTTTCATCTTTCTATGCCATCTCTAGAGTTGTAGAAGGGAAGGCAGTGCTGTACAACAGCGGCTATTAGAATTATAACGAATAATGCGGCTGCTGTTTGGTCGAATGCGCTGTTTACGTAGAAAATCCGGTGTAACGTTTCACCATAAGCCGATCCATTTTGCAGTTTTTATATAACATCATACCGTTTTCTGCAAGCAGCTGTGTCCTAAACAAATTTCTGCTTCAGGTTCTGATCAGCTGTTGACTCCACGACGTTTCCTTGATAACCTCGCAAAATTGAGTCAACCCATTCCAGCCGATCCCTGATTGCGACTGTATATTAAGCGTATTTACTCATCGCGTTTAGCTGTGTATATCGTTTCAAGCTATTCTGTTTATGCTATTGTGACTGTGATGTCACTTGTTTCATTTGCACACCCTTGTTAACTTTAATCGCTGAATTTGCGAAGTAAATAAGCCGCAAATTAATTAAACTGTTTCGCACACTGCCGTACTGCTTGGCTGGCAGTAGCATCGTTTTATCGAAAGTTTCACCGTACAGTAACTAATTTTAAATTCATGCACCTTTCTTTAGCTTTTGTCACTTTAATGTCAAAACCACCCCTTCACAAGTAGTACCCTTTATATCATGAATAGCTGTAGCTATGAAAGTTTGTATTTAAAGAAGCACTCTGAAGGCAAGAACTGCATTACGCTCTTATTGGACCGTTTCTGTGTACTTATCATGGTAAATATCGTGTTGATTTAATAACTGCTAACATAATTGAACGTTTTAAGCGGCCAAGTAGTTTTTTCCGCTGAACTCCGGGCCAAAACACCATGTCTCATTGTTCACAGATTCCTAACCGTTTCTAAATCGATTGCAAGCGAGCGCAACTAATGTTCAGAAGAATGAAATAAGAAACCGTACAAAAGAACGTCATTCGTCGAACTTACGTAATACGGTAGTGCTAAAACGGCACGAAATTGTACATCATAAATTCTCTTAAGAGAGAATTAAATTTACGGTGAACATTGTTCATTATTTATGATATTCATTGCTTATATTTTTCAGTCAGACACTTTGATATGACTACTGCACACACTGTTAAACATAACTCTTCTCCTTGAAATTAGACTATTCATAAAATCAGAGGAAGTTTCAAATTTATAACGTGTTCTCTATTAGCAATCAACAAACCATGCATTCAAAGTCCAACAAATTCGAACAGGTTGTTCACTGTCTAATCATTTACAACTGTACAGCTTCAAGTCATAATCTAGTAAAACGCCCATTATGCATTAGGGCAAAAAATGTACCTGAATCGAGGAACACAACAAAACGCAACAAAAACTGAAGTGACTGATTCACGTTGACACAAAGCATAAAGTAAACGTATTCGTTAAAGTACAAAACGTTCTAACCTAATCAGGGTACAAAACAATACATTCTGATAAAGCTTTGTTGGGAACACTTGCACAGACGGAAGCGACAAAGCAGCAGCTGCAAAGACCATTAACAGTTAAGCCGTTCCTCACAACGCTCCGCTGACCACAAAAGATCGATCGCTTCAACTCTGCTGCGCAGCAATCGATTGCTTGGCCGCAACAATAAGATTGCACAACGTGGTTAATGGTTTTGCGCATTTCAAGAAACGGTGCTAAAATGACAGTTGGTAAATGAAGACTGTCACTGAACAAATGATGAAGACTATTCAAGAAACTAAATAGCCAGATGACAACCCCAGTTACTGTCAGTAACCAGACTTGTCCTATACAGCAAAATGAACATTGTCACAAGAATTCTGCCGCGTCGTTTATGTGATAGAAAGCGATAGCCACTCTGCAACTCGTGACGAAATATAAATCCATACAAATTTAAAAGATAGACAAAGCATTTGAACTGTTTCTATGTATAACATGTTAAACAATGAGAAATTATTGATTTTCTTATTCGTGATTATTCGTACCAAACAGCATAAAACTATTAAAACAATAAAATACTTTCAGCAGAAACAAAAAATGTAAATACTTGAGACCAGTGCCGATGTTTCAATCTATATTTTAAGAAACGCAGCCAAAATTATATCGTGCAAAAATAACTGGCTGAACAGGTGTGTCAACGCAGCATTCATAACCCTATATTCAATGATGGATACGAATTCTGCACAGACTTGATAAAGCCGGTTGTCGCTGTTACCAAAACATTATAAGTGGGCGGAAGAGCATATTGGCA